GCAATTACTGCAGGGCAGAGGGAGACACTGACCCCTTCGTCACCAATTTATCCTTTTCTTGGTTTCCTTTCTTGCACATCTGAGAGGAGCTGTAGACTATTCCTTCAGATCTTAACAACCCTTAAACTATTTTTAATAAAATGCTTTTTGGTGTGACACCAATACACACATAGCTTTCAATTACATTTTAGCACTCCCAGTAGGAAGTAGCTCTTTATAGGGAGAAGTGACTTATGATAGTGCAGGATTATGGGTTTGGTCTTTGCATTACAGAAATTCGAAGCCTGGTGAAAATAAAAACTGCTCAGCACATATTCTGTAGGTGAGCTAAGCCTTGTGCGTGGGGAAGCATTTCTGAAGGAGTTAAGTGTTTGAAATAAAACCATGTAGTCATCTAGTAGAACAGAGACATGAAATTGTTATTTATCAAGATGAAACCGGCATTTGGATAAAATTCTCCGGTGCTGTTAATAACTTCTGTTGACGAGGGAGTCACAACAGCAGCAATGAGGTAGACATCCCCCTGAGCTCGGAGGAGCGGGATTTTTCATGGCTATGAGCAAGGAGAAGTGTGTGTCTTTGGTAATAACTTTCTGAGCGGCTCCATCAGAACAGCCACCACAAATTTATCTTTTTCTGTTCTCTCCAAAAGCTTTGTCAGTTCTGAATAATCTACTGTGGCTACAGGCTGCCAGAGTGCCACATGGCCACGTGCATCTCCAACACAAGGTCCAACTCCCTGAGCACTTTTATCATAATGATGAAGTTTCTTAACTTAAAGCAAGGATGACTCTGGAGTTCCCTACAACAATGTGAACTTAAGATAAACACTGAATGATGAATAGGCCAATTACTGAAACCTCCCTTCAGCTGAGGCCATATGTGGCTAGTTGATAAGAGGAGGTATGCGTCCTCTCATCTGGCAAATGTTACAGAAAATGGGATGGTTTGAAGCAGAGATGGTTCTGTGTAATCAGGCACTGGCTAATGAGCAATTTCCTTTTGCATGTGATTTTTCCCTTTCTTTGTTTGCTGTCTGGGATGGTGGAAGTGGGGAGGGAGCTGGCACCCTGACCAACATGCATGCAAGTGCTTCACCCTGATATAAATCACTGCCCTTTGCCCCCACAGCAGGTGCCAGTCCAAGACAGAAAAGCAGCAGGAGATGGTGAAGGGCTGCATGAAGGTCCTACACATGTCTTCTGAAGGTGAGGAGCCCCTTCCTGAGAGACCCACCCAAACCAGGAGAACAGCTGTTCTGTAAATCTACCAGCAGCCTGTGCAAACCTTCTTGTGTACAACAGCAAAGAGGGACAGACACCTTGGACCACAGCTGCAGGACCAGGACATGGATGTCTCGGACCATGACTGCAGGACCAGGGTGTGGACATCTCAGACTATGGCTGCAGGACGAGGGGATGGACACTGTGGACCGTGGATGCAGCACCCCAGACAAGCTGTAAGTTAGCACTCTGGATGTATTTTGGGGCTGGAGCACCTAAAAGAGCAAAGCAAGAGGCATTTCCCCGGAGAGATCCCCCCAGCAGCACCCAAGGAGAAGAGGCAAAGGCTGGCAGGGGCAGACACAGCGAGGTCCCCCCAGGTGCTGTGGCTCTGTGTCACTCCCCCAGCTCCACCCGGGAGCCAGTGCCACCACTGTCACCACACCACCCTACAGCGAAAACCGCGAGGCACCGTGTCCGACGGTAAATGATATGATTTACTTACTACCTATGGAATTGCCCAATTAATTCACTATCCACATTAATATTATGGCTCATTTTTAACTTTACTGTCTCCATCATTCCAATTTAGTGCTGCTCAGAGATGCTGCCGCTGACCTTAATGGGTTTTTCATTATAACAAAGAGCACCATATTAATCACAATGGGTTTTTGGCCGGTGGTTGCTGCCCGAGCCCCACTGCTTTGGGCAGCTGCTTTTTAGTGGTTTGGGGACCTATTTTATTTCTGCCAGGCTTCTCACCCCCGCTCACACTGTGTACGAACCTTCGTGCTGTCCAGGAGGAATTTCTTGGTATAACGTTTCCAGGCACAGAGATTTTATGCGGCAGTCAAGCTGTGCTGCAGATATGATAGATTTTTCTGGGCAAATTGGAGGAAGAAGTAGAAAACCGAAAGGATGCACCAGTCATAGCCAATGAGCCTCTTATTGTCCTGTATAAAAATCAAATGCCTTTTAATAATTTCAAATGTTCTTCTGGGTATCAATTAGTCACACATTAATATCAGTATTGCTTCTCTTCCTCAGTTCACATCAGATTAAATTCTCCCCTGTCATATACACTCGCCCTCATTAGCTTCAAGGAAAATTAGTGATTGTTCTCTCTTCATTGGCACTGATGGGAGATTTCCATCGGAACTGCTTTTTATACAGAGAACCTGATTGTCATCTTAAAGAGATTGAGGGCTTTTTCACCCAAAATTGTCTTTTCATGGAAAATCCTTTTTTTTTTTTTTTTTCTCTCTCTGAAACCCTGAATTCTGAGCCAGAGCATTGAGGAATGGGGGGAAAAGAAAACCCATTCCTGCCCAGTGTCATCCTGTGGTTTCTGTCCCTCTCTGCATCCCAAATATCCGTCTCCCTGTGGGGATCCAGTGGCTGTCGCACAGCCCACAGCTGCTGAGGGGAAGGACAATTCGGATTGCACAGGGTTTTGCTGCCGTCAAACCCCTTGGTTCAAGGCTGAATATTTATAATTCTCTCTATGGAGAGCTGCAGTGTGGAGGGGTCTCATCCTGCTCCCTGCCCTGCCCTGGGGCACACAGAGCTGACCTGGCTCCATGTGCATGCATATATACATGCACGTGTGTGTGTGTGTGCGCATCCACGTGTATGCATACATTGTACGTGCTCACTCCCATCACCTCCCATCCCTCCGGGCCGGCACTGCCCAATTTTGCAGGCTGCAGCAAAACAAGATCTCCAGCTCAGCGGCAGGAGCCCCCCGCCCCCCCCCGCCGAAAAAAAACGCTCCATCCCCGACACTCGCCAAGCACTGGAAGGGACCGATGATATTTATTGAGTTTTATTAACTCCCAGCCTTGGGAGGTTCTCACTTCTTCCAGCTAATTCAGACGCCCAACTCCTGCCTGAGTTACAGTGATTGCCATTAAAAAGCTTGACATTTACCTTACAACAGTAATAAAATAATAATGCCTAATTTGGTTTACGAGTGGTATTTGCAGTGTTTCCTGTGCCTTGAGTGGGAGATATTGTGAAGATCGCTGCAATGCTGATCAATTATGTCTGCTTAACGGCACTGCTGTAATTCTTTCCTGTAATCATAACCGTCTTTCAGTGGAGCTGCTCCAAAGTTTTCCTTTGAAACTCTAATTTTGACAGGAAAAGAAAATGTTTTCAGATACTTCAGTTTCTAGGGAATAACAAAAGCTGCAGAGGTGAAACTTTCTGGTGAAAAGTGAAGAAAGACAAACCTGGTGTCTGCACAGATTTGCTGCAATTAGATTTCCAAAATCTTTCAGATGTTTTCAAAGGCTGCCACTGATTGCTTTCCATTAAAAAGTGATTTTTCTCCTCCAAATAACCTGCTGTCTTTCACCCGTCAGTATGATGCCCTTCTGTTATTGGCCCCTGAAATATTAAAAACCCCCAGTGTGTTTTACATCGCCGAGTGATTGCTGCCGAGTGAAGGGCCGGGGAGCTGCCGCTGGGCTGCGAGGTGAGGAGCTCCTGCTCCCTGGGGCCAGGGACCCCAGACCCCTTTGCAGGGAGCCCGTACACACCAGGGGACACCCCCACCCCTTGCACACACACATACACAATGCCTTCCCCAAGCTGTTCAGCAACTCCGCTTCCATCCCACGTGGATTTACCCCCAGGTTGCAGGCAGCGATGCCCCGACATGCAAAGCCAGCGCTGGACCTGCTAAAAACAATTTCTTTCTCCATTTCTCACCCTGAGCAAAACTCGATGTGGATTTTTCTTTTTTTCAGTGCAATTTCAATTAGTACATGATGCACTCTGGGTTTTTATGAGAGTAAACAGCTTGGAAAAACAGTACATGCCAGCTCCTCTACTCCAGGGAACCTCATCCTGTTCAGACTAGAAACTTCACGCTGGATTTCTGAAAGCCTTCCTTAAGATGGGTTTATTTCCATGAAGAAACGGTACAATTTCAGCAAATGGAAATTTTTGAACATATCAAAAAAAATTAGTCAGGAAATTCCTGGCTAGGCCAACTTTGGGGCAAGGCTCTGCACAAAGCGGCTGCGGGAGGCTCTTCATGGGGAGAGCTTGGGCTTCACACCGCATCGCTGAGGGCTGGCAGCGAGTGCATGCACGTGTGCACCCGCGCATATGTGTGTGCACACCCACCCATGCAAACCTGCATGCACGCCTATGCACACACACCCATGCAAATGTGCATGCACACACACGCGCATACACAAATGTGCATGCACACATATGCCCATGCACACCCACACCCATGCACATGCGCACACGTGTATGCACACCCATGCCCATGCCCACACTTACCCCCCCGGCCATGCCCAC